CAATAAAAAATATCTCCCAGTTTGAATAGGCTGTCCTTAAATTCCTCTTCATACGTTGACCATGCACAAATCCAAAATCTCTTCTTTAATCTTCTCCATACCACCTCTTGACCCCAATTAGCCAGAATGTGTCTTGCACAAAACCTATGCTAAGCATTTGGTAGAACAATTTCACTGCATCTATCAGACACTATACAACATAATAATATCACTATTATGGCATTCTGGTCAATAGTATATAAATATGACTAAAAATAATTTTACCTTTTGCATGTCAGATATGATGGTGATCATTGATCCATCATCCAAATGAAGTTTTTGGGAAAGCCAACATAGAAACCACTTCCAATTGTCATTATTTTCCTTTCCAACTACTCCCAAGAAATAGGATACATCTGGTCATTACCATCTCTGCCAACCGCTGCTAAAATTTGGCCCTTCGTCAATCCTTTAAGAAAGAAACCATCTAAACCTATAATTGGTCTACAACCATACATCCAACCTTTCTTTAATGCTTCAAAGTAGACAAACATTCTCTTAAATACCCTTTTCCCTTCACTTAAAGTTTGCTTACAACACTCGATCTCTAATGTAGTTCCACTTTAAAGCTTCCATCCAACTCTTCTATGATCATCTTCTTTGCTCTTTTACACTTAGAAATACTAACATTAATTTTGTAAATGTCCTTACATTCCTTAACCGTGTATTTTGTTTTATAATTGGGGTTAAGGTAAATTTTTTTCTTAAACTTTCTTTCTAGGAAACTAGTTGACACACTTGGAAGTGTGTAGTGTCTCCAACACCTATGCTCGTCCACCAGAGTCTTTATTGCCAAGCCCGAATTTTCCCCATCCTTAGAAATAAACATGTGAATAGGACAATCATCCTCATTAACACATTTGACCCTTACTTTAGTCGGTTCATTAGGGTGCAACTTCAATTTCACACCCTCAACCACTCCATATTATGCAATTGCTTCTCTTGCTTCATTAGCATTGACAAACGTCATTGCCCAACTATCTTCACGTCTAACCTTTTCAAGAGATGTCTCATATTCATCCTCACTTGCTTGACTGTCACTTGACCTCCCACCATTCTCAACTTCTCCTTCGTTTTCACATTCTTCTTGGCCTAGCGTATATTAGTATACATCTTCTATTTCTGTGGCATCTAAATCTGGAACATTAAAAATTTCTAGCCAATCTATATAAAGAAGATCCCTTGTTTCACCATCAACATGGTTTTGTCAATCTATAGTAACTGTAGTATCAATTGAGTCCTAAATAAATCAAAATATTAGAACAAATCATTTCAAATAAATCAATGAAGTATATTGGGGAGACATGAGGGAGAAGTCATTTACTAACAAACAATTAGTCTTTTTCAATATACCATGTATGATTGACTCCAAAAGTGTTATAGATAGAATTATTATCTCTGCTAGTAATCTAACCTCATATTTAGTCTATCAATCATTCAGTAACCATTATTTTACATCAAACAGAGGACTTGACTAAGAAAAAGCAAACACCTAGCATAAGAAACAACATCATATCACCTAAATAATAGAAATTTCACAAAATAGAGCTTGATTTGATGCATACTATAAAGGAACATTGTAGCCCATACAGTGATGCCTATAATACACAGACTTATTTAGGGCATATATATAATACTACGTATTCAACATACTCTTTCCCCCAAATGTTTTATTTGCATGGCAGAACGTTAAACAAAACACAGGTCTTTGCGACACACACCAACAAAACTCAGTAGAAAAATTAATGGTCGGGTAGGGTATACCACATTCAAACACGCACCAACATCATTATCTTTTGGTTGGAATAAACGAGGAACCCTAATTTTACACAAATTCAATTACGAAATTCAAAACCATTATTCAAAAGATACCATGATAGCTAGGTTTGATGATGGATTATGAAGGAGAAGGTTTAAGGAAGAGATTCAACTCAGACCTAAATAAATCAAATATTGGAAAAAAACAAGTCAAAAAATTAAATAAAACTTACTTGAAAACTACATCTGATTCGTTGCTCTACAGGAGCAATTAAATTGACGAGCTCGTGTTCTTCATTTCAATATTTCGTCATGCCTTGTGTTCAAAGTTCTAGTTCGCTATTTTGCTTCTTCGCTACTTGAGGCTGACGGAATGTATTAGTTTAACACTGGATCGGTCCTGACATTATATGGGCCCGGGGCAGTACAAGTAGACTAGACCTCAGGGATAGCGTGAGAATGTTTATAATGTTCTTTTTGCTATAAAATTCTATAATTTAAAATTATATAATTTTACCGTCCAAATACTAACAAAGCATATGGTTAGACAAATTATATAGAGGGTATTTGATAAGTCACATTCCAGGATACAATGTACCCAAAGAAGCCGAATGAAACAAGTAGTGCAACTATTACGTGCAATTAAAAAAAATTGAATTAAGAAAAGTTGTGAAAGTTATATCTCGTATAAAGAGTAACTTTTTGGGTTTTTTTCAAAAAAAAAAAAATACTAAAATAAAACTCACTTACACAAATATGACAAATTGTTACTACAATGTATTCTCATAGTAACTCAGGTTTAAAAATTGAACATAAGTTACTATGATTTCATTACTACTTTAGTCACTAGTTACATTTTTGTAAATAATCTTAATTTTAGTCACATATATATAATTATTTCTAACTTTTTCAAATTTTAAGTCACATTTTCACTACACAAAAACAAATTCTAAGTTTCTAAATTATGGACACTGTAGTTCAATCTTTCATTAAATGAGAGAATCAGAGAAAATTTGTGAAATATATCAATGAATTCGGGAGGTACAGAAGAGAATTACATCAAATTAAAAGATCAAAATTAATGTAATAACCCGTAATGATTCAAAAAAAATGGTGAAATATGTTCCCAATGAATTCTAACATGGATGTTTCAAAATTATAGACTTGTACCATGTAGATACTGAATAACGAATTGGGAATATCTAAAAAAAATAACAGTTTGATTTTATTTTTAATTTTTATAGTCTTAGGATGTATATATAATTAAAATATCGATGTACACACACATATATATATATATTTGAGAAATTTATGGGCCCTAATGGAACAAAGGGCCCTGGGCGCATGCCCCTCCTGCCCATGCCCCAGGACCGGCCCTGGTTTAACAAGGAAACATTAGGAAATGTTTAACAAGGGTAATATTAGACCCATGTTGAGATTTAGCAGTATTTTTGTTCCAAAAAATATAACATGAGTATATCTGTTCTCACACTGATAGTACATATTTTCACCTTTTCCCGTTTTATTTTAGAGATAGACAAGCATTTTAAAAAAAAGAGACAAGCAGTTTAATTGAAATAGAAGATTATTACTATTATTATAATAAATAAAATAAGATATACTTCGTACTTAAATATAAATGAGTTACTTAGGTCATGTAAAAATATATACTTTTATAAAAATACTCTACTTCATATATGTGTCTATGAACTTTTATTTCAATTAAATATCGCTAAACATTACAAATATTCATGGATATCGATAAAAACAAAATAAAATTCTTGTATACATATCAGTCTCTAAAAGAGGAATAGATTGCCAAGAGTATGGGTATGTTTGGCACAACTAGCTGAAAAGATACTTTTGTGAGTTTTTTAGTAACTGTTAGCTTTTAGTGACTGAAAAGATCTTAAAAAGAAAAGGTGATAGCTGTTTGGTAAAAAGTCGACTGTTTGATTTAGTTTGGTTTGGTATACAAGCTGTTAGGACTAATTAATACTAAAAGTCACGAGCTTTTCTCAGATGCTACACCCGGTAGCATCTCCAAAAAGATCTTTTAATTTTTGAAAAGCTCTTAAAAAATATCATGTCAAACATGCAACTAGAGTCTTTTGACGTCTTTTTAAAGAATAGAGAAGTTAGAAGCTAGAGGCTTTTGTGTGCCAAACATATCCTATGTTTTCAGACAAAAAGAGCTTTTGAAATCTCACTAAATTAAATATCACTTCAAAATCAAACATATAAAAAATCAAGATATTTTAAGTAGAAGATTTTTTTTTTGAAAAAACCCGATAGAATAGTTAAGTTGAAGATTATTTATAATGTTTGAAACTTGAATCCATGTAAGGTATTAATAAGGTGAAATAACTGAATGAGTGCGCAAAAAGGGTAATCGGCACAATTATAGTTTTCATATTACTAAGAGGTCTTGGAGTATGTTTACAAAAAAAATTAAAAAAATGATTTCAAATGACAACTTTTACTTAAATTAAACACTTAAACCTAATGTTTATTTTGATGTCACCAATAGAGAACTTAAATCAAGCTTATGGAAGGATGTCAATTGAGGATGAAGAGAGCAGTTGCCTGGTGTTTGATCCAGGTGCTTTGGAGAAGTCAAAAAACAACAAGGCGGCGATACTTCTGGAATATCACTGCCTAAAATACTAGCAGACAAGATGATTCCTTTGGAGGTGCCTAATCAAACCTCTTCTCACTTCCTGATGGCTGGTAAAGTCGGGATGCTTCCTTTAAAGGTGGTTGAACAAACCTCTTCTCCCATCCCGATGGTTGATGTAATCGAAGTGGCTTCTTTGGAGGTGACTGATCAAACCCCTTCTCCCTTACTGATGACTAGGAAAACCAGGAATTATGACTCTTTTTGTTCTTTTCAATTTAATAACTCTAGTTTTTTATCCATCTATTTTGGTAGCAAATACATTGATGTTGATAGATTAGTCTACCGGATTGGGGGTTAAGGAACTTGACAGTTTCTCAAAAGCTAGTCAGTTCTACGGCTCATCTCATGGTAGCTCTGTGCTACTGGATTGCTTTGTTCTCTACCATTTCCATTATTAATATTACATAAATGTGTTTCTTTCAACAACAAAACAAATACAAAATACAAATGATTTTGATTTGTTACAATATTTCTCAAATTGAATAAACAGGAACCGATTGAAACCGAATGATAAACCGAATTACACAATCCATAAACACCCCTGTTAAGCACATGTAAAAATAGGCCATAAACGGTCAATTGAATGTTGGCTTGGGAAAATAACTGAAAGTCAGGACACATTGTGAGTGCAACCGCCTCTTTCTTCTACACTCCAGCGAGAGCAGATCCGTCACGTTCACGGTTGCTCACAATCTTCTGCGTGCTCCTCTCTCTACTCGTCAACTGCAAAATTTAGGCTCCAGAGACTAGAAAGCTATAACGAGCGATGATTATTGGTTCCTACACAATTGCCTGCGTCAAGGTATATTTCGAGTGTGGAAGTTACGAATGCGATGTCGAGCATTGACTACCAAAACCGAGGCAGATTCAGCATTTGGGCTCCGCTTTCTCTCTACAATGTGTTTATCATTCGGAGCTCCAGCTACCAGAAACTGCCATCAGAGCCGCTCAAACTCTCTGTTCTCAAATTAGACGGCTCTTCATTCGGTAAACTTATTTCGATTTAGTGAGATACTTATAGGTTTTCCTTTATACCTATTGCAGATATAGTGAAATATATCTTCCTGTTACAGCCAATGCGTATATTCCCTAATTTGGACTGTTTGTGCAGTGGTTAATGTCCCAAGGAATGCTACTGTGGCGGACCTGAAGTTAGCTATTGAGCAAGTTTTCGATTTTTCCTGCGAGGGCGAAGACATAATTCTATGGTATAAATGAATGTTAATCATTTTAGGTGGTAGTAAGTTAGTAACATGAGTCGTTGTGATATATCAGCTGAATGTATGCCTATCTATGGATGATAGTTATGCAGAATAAAGTAAAATTTTGGGTTTCTGATAAAAACGGAGGTGTTAAAGTGGGTGGCTAACCAGCTAGTTATGAATGGTGTAAGTGTTGACATGACAGGTCACTTGTATGGAGCCAATTCTGTTTGTGTTATGCAGCTCAGAAGCTCACAAATGACAAAGCTTGCGTTCGGAGCTTAGGGATCAAAGATGGTGATCAGGTTAGTGAAATTTGTTACGTATGCATATCATATACCATTTGATTTTGAGTTTCCCTTATTATCTTGTGTACATTAGTGTATATTGCCTTTAAGTGAAAAACAAGCAATGTTCTTATATGATAGATCAATATTTGGAGTTGCCACAACATCGTCAAATGTTTTACTCCGTATATGTTATTGCTTCCGCATGGATGCTCAGGATTAAATTTAATGACTTTTATCTGGAAGAAATGATTTTCTATATGTTTACAATGCTCTCCCACACCACTGTGTGCCATAGTCCACACTCCACAATGGCACAATCTTGAAATGGTGTTTAAATGAAGAAGTGAAACCACAAATATTTATAGTGCGAAACTGAACTGACACACACATGCTAAGTGGATTGATCGTATTATATAATCCCAAAAGCTGTTACAAGTCACCTAGTATTCGATTACCTTATCATTCTGCAATATGTATATATAATTGTAGAAGACAAGAGGATATGACTTGCAAGTTGTGCAACATGTAGGAAATCCCAAATAAAAGATCTTGTACACATGTTCAAATCGTATTGATTCGAATGTTATTAATTCAAGGGTTGGCTTGCACATAGTATAGATGACTATAGAGATGTATAAGGGAACATAGAAGGGTGTTTTAGTGCTTATAAGGGAAATTTACATTCTTTTGTGGTTTTAAGAATTTAATTCATTCTCACCCATTTGCAACTATCTTTCCATGTCTTTTTTCGTTTTGACTGGCAGCTTCAATTTATGCGGCATATGATGATTGAAGGAATTGAATGCAAAACGGAAAAGCAACCATCCAAAAGTGCAGAAGATCACCCCGATCAATACTCAGTGTAAGATCAAAGCTACATACATGACAATTGACAAATGATGGTTGCTGCATATGCATGAGATTCTGAACAGATTCAGAATGTGTAGTTTTGAGCAAGAGCCTTATGAAGTTTTTCTTTTCAGGATAAATATTTGTGAAGCAAGTCAGAGTAACAACATGTGCCTTAACAATAAACAAAGCACTTGTTTCGAGATTGTTGAAGAGAAGCGGAAGGACACGATGCATGCACCAGAATTCAAGTTTGCTCATCTTGTGAAAGGGTGGTTAAAACAACCAAAATTTTGGCATTCAAAAGGAAAAGGACTTCGAGAATGCAACCGACCTTCAGTATTTCGTTGTCAGTGGGTCAGATCATGAGTATATTAAGGAGGTGGTTGGGGATGGGATGGGCATGTGAGTTCAAATTCATCTTTTATCTACTCTAGAATCTTGATGTCATTCTGAGATGGGATAGGCACAATACTTTTTGCATGCATGTGTCTCACAGCATTAGCTTTTGTACCACTGCTGAAACCAAGCATTTGGGTTGATCTAGAGAAGGAGAATTAGATGGGGAACTTCAGAGCACAACCAAACCAATCTCTAACCAACTTATCCCCATGGATAATATTAGACACATTAAAGAGTGCCCACATGGTTCCTTAGGGGGGCTCTTATGTAGATGCATAGAAGTGAGTTTTTGCTTTAAAATCATACTTTATAAAACTCTGATGATTTTTTTAAAACTTGCCATACTAAAATCAAGTAAATGAATAAACAAACAAAATATTAAAAATCATATTAATGCTGCCAATGAATAACTGAAAACACAGAATGAATTCATGAGGTACCAATAATAATTTTCACGGTATTATTATAAATATTAGTTAAAATTCCATGATTGTACTTCACCTATATTGGCTCTGGACAAAGTTTTTTCTTCAACTATGATGCAGCCATTTCTGAGTTGCTCATTTATTTTGTCAAACCCACAAGGGCCAATGATAGAGACACACCTTACTGTGGAAAATAAACTAGCTAGGTAGACGTGCATTTTTAGAGTTTATTTTTGCCTAAATCACGCACACGGGACACCATCTTCAAAAACTTTATTCTTCTGAGTGGAGAACATTTTTTTCTGGGCTACTCTCTTCCTTGTCTATCTCAGACTTCTGGGCCACACAAAGAGCACATCGAATAACTTTATTTATCTGCTTCATCAATCTGACATTGTCAGTGAGCAAGTGAGTGAGCATTTTTCTCAAATCAACATCATCCTTTATCCCTGAATTGTCATTATCGGCATTTTCGACATCTCGGGCTAGGAGCTCTGCCTGTTAAAGCCACATACTTTTTTAAATAAGACTTTTGATTTGTACATTGACAAAATCATATGGAGCATGGCGAAGAAAAGCTCACCTCTGAAAGGAGAAAGCCCATTTGATCATCATATGCAGCTAGTGTATCATAAGGGGATGGGGTATCCATCCTGATTAGATCATTCTCATTGTCAACATGGAAATCAATACTGCACTCCTCAAGCCGAGTGCGAATAGCCATGCACTGCTGCAGCAGCTTATTGTTGGTAGCCTCAGTGTGCTTCCTACTTTGCCTTTCTTCATGCAAATTTGCCTGAAAAGAATTTGTTCATAAAGGGTGTGATCGGAAATCAGAAAATGTTAGGGAAAGAAGATAAATAGGAAATTTGGAGGAAAAAACAATGTGTGAGAAAATAAAGAAGCTGCTTAAAACTCTATAAATCCATTTTAGATATTTCATCATTTGAACAGTTTCTATTATATGGAGTAGTAGTGTAGTACTTTTCATTTCCCTGCCATTTTCTTAGTCCCAAACATATCAATAACAGAATTAGCAGCATAGTTTGTAAAAGGGGGGTGAACTTTTCCCCTAAGAAAAAAACTCTAGTTAAAAAAAAGAGTTAAATGACCCAGTAACACAAAAGTTACTTCTGAAAGAAAAGAAGAAGTGGAGGATCATAGATAATTCTTGATAAAAAGTACATTACTTCCAATTCAGTTTTCTGTTTTGACAATTCTCCAAGCTCCTGCGTGAGTTCTGAAAGTGAACTTCTAAGAGAGTCAAGCTCATTGGACTCTGTCTCCAATGTGTGGTTTTGCATGTTCCTGAGCTGAAACATTACCATAATAACTCAACTCAAATGGAGATTCGATGAATCGCAGATGGGTGTGTATGGAAGGGAGAAAAGTTTTTTTTCTCTTGGGGCGTCCTGACCTGTTCAGACTTTAGGCTTGCCTCCATCTCCAAACACTTCCTTCTTAGCTCGTCCATATCACATAGTATTTTGGTAAGTTTCTCCCTTTCAATCGAAACAATTTGCTGCACATTTCCTTTGTCACTCTGTTGTACACAACCTTCTTCAGTTTCCAGGTTTTTTGTGCTGGCTAGCCTCTGTTTCATGGTAGAGAGAGTTTTACTTTGCTCATCAGTAGTAAGCACACTCGAACATTGGAGTGATTGAACTGCGCCAGCGACAGATGAGCCTCCTTTATCAGGAATGCTATTATTTGAATCATTAAAATCTGCAAGAAAACTATCACATTAAGATAGTTCTCAGTTGCATTTTTAAGTACAGAAAAAACGAAATTACTAGTAAGGAGGCACATACATGACCTTACTGCTGCTTCTAGTTCAATAAAGATTGCTATAGAAAGACTTCTAGACAAGTCAATGTCAGAAGATAGCACATTTGTCATCCAATCCTCCAATAGGTGCCTTCGCTGAGAAGGAAGAAAAAAAAACTACATATAAAAAAAACTTTTTCTGTTCCTATAAATATGGGAGGACAGCTGGATTGTAAAATCTAATGCATCAAGGAGGGGCCAGTTTCCCCCGAGTCTAAATACTTACTTTTCCAAGTCTCAGTATTTTTCCCGCGTTATCAAAAGTCCAAGTACTTATTTTTTCAAACATAATTGCTAGTTTCACTATACATGCATTTTACATTGAACAATCCATATCCGTTCACTTTTTTCTTTTTTTGATAACGCTAGTGAACGAGACCTTTGACCCGTATAATCTCACACAAACAATCCAGTAAACCTCCAGTCGCCCTCTGGGGGGTCGAACTAGTCTCCCGGGTTCAAAGTTCAAACCACTTGAACAACCCTGAAAGGTTAAAACTTAAAATATTGCTCATATTTAGTTGCACCTCTAGGACTTTTCACAAAATTTAAGAGTAAAATTGTAGTAAAGGTAATTCAAACGTGAAGTAATTGCGCCTCCGACTCTCCACGGGTTCGAACTAGTTTCCTGGGTTGAAACCACTTGAACAGCCCCAAAAGGTTAAAATATCACTCACATTTAGTTGCACCTCTAGGCCTTTTCACAAAACGTAAGAGTAAAATTGGAGTAAAGGTGATTCAAAAGTGAAGCAAAAGTTGTGAATAGTATATAAAAAGTGAACAAAGTAGAAAAGAGAAAATAAAAAATAGGATATTTATCTCCTTTCAAATTATATGGTGCTTTCCCAAAGGGGAGAGGAGCAAGCAAAGGTGAACAGAGGTATATTTTAGGTTCTCATGTTAATATATTTTACTCTGTAAAAGATCTTCTGTACTATTCAATAGAGTAAAGATCAAACCATGACAGGTTTATCATGTTCTTGATATGGTACTTACAACTTACTAGGGGTGGTTTTTATTTCTAACTGACCCAATTCAGGACCCGGAAAGTGAATATGAAATAGAGGGTATTGTTATATAAAGTATTCCTGTTTATAGGTTCTACTGTACTTGCTAGTGTCCAAAGTGATACTCAATGATGTCAAACTGAGAGGATTAAACCGTATTAACAAGTGAAGTGAACAAATTTACTTTCTGAGTAACAAAAGGTACCAAACAAATAGCTAAAATGCAGGGAAACATACAAAACTACGGTAATACAAACTTCAATCAAGCTAATGAGATGCACAGTCAAGGACTTTGTATAGAAGAATCCACAATATAATTATTAATGGGAAAATGGAAACTAATAATCCAACCTTTTAGCGGTCTTCTTACAATAGTCCCACCTTTTCGTTATTCATGAATAATCCAACCTTTGCACCGCATCTTCATTCACTGGTCCCTGACCGGTTGATGACCTGCTATTCCAAGTTATTTTCTTATCTTTGCAAACAATTATACCATAAATCTCACCTTTCACAAAGATAATATTTTGCAAATATAAGAAAATAACTTGGAATAGCAGGTCATTAACCGGTCAGGGACCAACGAATGAAGATGAGGATGCAAAGGTTGGATTATTCTTGAATAACGAAAAGGCGGGACTATTGTGAGAAGACTGCTAAAAGGTTGGATTATTAGTTTCCATTTTCCCATTATTTATTACATCAGTTATAATTATTTATTACAATATTTATTAAAATCTTCAATTACATATATTTGTAGTTATTATTGTAATTAGTAGCTTCCTTATTCACTCCTTACACCACTGTATAAATACCACCACATACTATGGAATAAAGCATGGAATTCAGCCTAAACCATTCTATCTTTTCACACTTTAATATGTAATGAATAATTATATTATGGATTCTTCTATACTTCGCACACTAATGAAGTTTCAATAGTATATTATAGTGAACCTCTCTCTCAAGTCATAAAAGCATCAATTTACATTGTTTAAAACTTTAAACTGGGTTCAGTGATGACATAATCATCTGGTCATGCATCAAGTCATCCAGTTACGTTCAATCAAAGTGACAGCTTAGATTAGGTAAACATTTGACATCAGAAGATGATTCTGTTCCTATTCAGTTTATCTCAGGTTTGAGGATTAGCTTACACAAGAGCGAGTTCAGTTTGAATGACATCGCTTTTCTGTAAGCGAGTTAAGTTTAATGACATCACATAAAAAGTTAAGACCTGTGTGTCAGATTGTTCAACTGAGCTGACACATAGCATCACATAATAACATATTATATGATGATTAACTCAAAAAAAAGTTAGTACTAACTTCTTCCAGTAGATTATTGTCTCTTATCCTCAATAGCCCCTTCCGAGGAGCTGGTGGAAGATTCTTCTTGGGGAACTCCTTTCTTAGCTGTAGAGAACAAAAGTGAAGAGCTCATTGAAAATCATGTATAGTTAGCCAAACACACCTGCACTCGAAATTAGGGACGATGATGATGCACTATGTTGCACGGAAAAGCGAAAATCCTGAGGGAACGGGAAACATCAACTTTTGCTCAAAAAAGGCTTGTTTGAAGAGTTTCCAAAGAGTTTCCGTAGAGTTTCCGAAACGGAAACATACTCTTTCCCGAGAATTTTCGTGCTACATAGATGATACATCAAGTAATGCTACAATAATCGCTAGTATCAATAACTGCATGGGAAATGCCTTACGTTACATACTAATAAGTACATGCACTAATGAAATCTGAACTCACATCAGAAGATAATGTTACAAAATCATTAAATCTGCGCAGTGTTTCCCTTGTACTTGTAATTCCTTGTGGTGATTGTATTCCGACAATAACCTTGTAAAGCTGTTAGAATCAGAGGAAGCAAAGAATTTGCATCAAAAGCGAGGAAATATAGGTTCAAAGTACGGATTCAAATTCAAAATGAAGGAAGACAACACCACAAGGGCACAAAGTCCTATATCC